GTTCGGGGGTGGGCGGGGGGTGGTTGCATTTAAACACACAGCAATTTTATTGGGGGGGTTATATTGACTGGATCAAATTATTGGGGGGGTTATAACCCCCCTATCCCCCGTGTAAATTACGCGGGTGGTCATTCTTTACAATATCCGGGCCAAGTGTTAGTGCTTTGTGTGAGCCCAAACTGGGTCAGACACATTTTGCAGTTGTAGCAGACAGATAATAGTGGAAAAGCAAAGAAAACATGATGTTTTTTGAGAAGTTCATACCTGAAGTCAGATGATTTCTGCATGAAATCCTGCTCAGTATTAATGAACTGTACTTATATATCTCCTTTCTACCCAACCAAGACACTCTAAGCTCTTCACACTACAATCTGTGTCCTCATTTACCCATTCACACAACACTCTACCAGATCTCCTACAAAGCTAACACGTACAATCATCTATGGAGACTAATTCATACACTGATGGGACACACATCAGAAACACACATTGGGGGTTAAATGTCTTGCCCAAGGACACAACAACTGAGACAGCTGGAACAGGGGATCGATCCGGCGACCTTCTGGTTCCAAGACGACTCCCCTAGCCACTCTGCCACAGCTGCTCTAAGTAAAGACCACAGTCAGTCTGACCTGTACCTGGTCCCTGCTGACAAGTGGTTTAATCTTCTTCAGTGGACTAACAAGAGCCTCTGAAGCCACTCTGTAACCTTCACACACGTCACCATCACCTTGTAAAAACTGGGTCTATTCAGGAGAATTCAATTTTTCTTGTAACATGYTGAATGACTTGTCTATCTCACAGCTCAATGTACAACCCAACCTACCTAACCTACAACAGACCTACATCAGACTTACAGCAGACCTACAACAGACCTACATCAGACTTACAGCAGACCTACAACAGACCTACAGCAGACCTACATCAGACCTACAACAGACCTACAGCAGACCTACATCAGACCTACAACAGACCTACAGCAGACCTACATCAGACTTACTGCAGACCTACAACAGACCTACAACAGACCTACATCAGACTTACTGCAGACCTACAACAGACCTACAGCAGACCTACATCAGACCTACAGCAGACCTACAGCAGACCTACAGCAGACCTACATCAGACCGACAGCAGACCTACATCAGACCTACARTAGACCTAYAGCAGACCTACAGCTGACCTACAGCTGACCTACAGCAGACCTACATCAGACCTACAGCAGACCTACCACAGACCTACAGCAGACCTACAGCAGACCTACAGCAGACCTACAGCAGACCTACAGCAGACCTACATCAGACCGACAGCAGACCTACATCAGACCTACAATAGACCTACAGCAGACCTACAGCAGACCTACCACAGACCTACAGCAGACCTACAGCAGACCTACAGCAGATCTACAGCAGATTTACAACAGACCTACAGCTGACCTACAGCTGACCTACATCAGACCTACAGCAGACCTACATCAGACCTACAGCAGACCTACCACAGACCTACAGCAGACCTACAGCAGGCCTACATCAGACCTACAACAGACCTACAGCAGACCTACATCAGACCTACARYGGACCTACAGCAGACCTACAACAGACCTACAACAGACCCACAGAAAACCTACAGCAGACCTACAACGGACCTACAGCTGACCTACAGCTGACCTACAACAGACCTACAACAGATCTACAGAAGACCCACAGCAGACCAACAGCAGACCTGCAACAGACCTACAGCAGACCTACAGCAGACCTACAGCAGACCTACAACAGACCTACAACAGACCTACAACAGACCTACAGAAGACCCACAGCAGACCTACAGCAGACCTACAGCTCAGCGTCAACCAAGCTTCTGGCTTCAGTAAAAATCCGGCTGCATTCCTGGGTAAAATACAGTTCCTCCACAATGGCAAGTAAAATCTAATGTCTGTGGGGATGGTGTAATTTTTTGTTACAACTAGGAGCCGTGGTACACATCTTAACTTTGTTTTTTATGTGTTGGACCAGAAAAAGCTTCATTTAATCTACAGGGACTTCTTCCACAGACACGTTTAAAGAAATAAGGGTAGCAAACCTTTCTTAGGAGTAGTAAACATGTAGCTGTCTTTATTCCTGATTCAGACATGTTTTTGGTTTGTGCAGGATTTTGGCCACGGTGGGGGCTGACTTTGACCTGAGAACGCTGAGAGCAGTGAGGGTACTGCGGCCCCTTAAACTCGTCTCTGGCATTCCAAGTAAGTTTTAAAAGTATTGTCAACAGTTGTGATACGAACAGCTAAAACACAGGTGTTACACAGGCAAACCAACCAACCACACCTTTGTTTTCCTGGTTATAGTTTCTGTCATGGGTTTGTACAATCCATCTGCATCTATGGGATTTCAATTAATAATCAAAACCTTCAGCTGGGAAAGATGCTATGACTTTTAATATTTGTAATTTTTCTACATTTTGAATTATTTATCTTTAAACAAACATTTTTCTGATATTTTCTTCAAAGATGCTGTTTTCTGAATGCTTTCTGATTTGTTTGCTTTCTTATGCCCTTYAAGCTATCGTCTTGGAAATTTTAGTCACTGACATTTTTTTACTTCCATTTTATGTAAAATTAGCTAAACTTATCTTTCTGCTCTGGTTTTACTAATTTTACTTTTTCAAAACASTTTTGCCAAATTTAGCTTTTAGTTACTTTTTGCTGGGTTTAGCTTTTCTTCTTTTTCTTTTATTTGAACAATTATTTATTTTTCAGCAAGTGTTCATTCTGTTTTCTGCAAAACTGTATTTTCTCTTTTTAAAGGGGGTTTTCTGCATTTTCCAGGGACATAGTTGAATTCTATACCACAATCCAGTAACTATGTTACCTTAAGTTGTTATAAAATGCTGTTTATATCAAAACAAATGTGACTTTCCATCATAGTTTATCTAAACGCCTTGAAATTGGCCGCTGTCTCTTTAAGAGCCTCCTACTGTTTTTGACACTCCGACTTCAACACGTTTTCAAACAATGCTTTGGGGGAGGGGGACTCTGTTGGGCGGGATCTCTGCTGGGGACTGATCTCCAGGGAGGAGCTTTGTGTAAATAGGCAGAGCTTTTTACCAGCAAGTGTTTAGGCAGCTCCACATGACCACAGGAGATTCAAGGATTTCTCAGACATGAATGAGTCAAAGCAACACTCTGGTATGTTTTTGATGAGGGAATGACATTATAACATGGTATAAAGCTGAAAAAAGGTCGGTTTTGCATAACATGTCCCCTTTTAATGAATTTTTTTGTTCCAACATGATAAARCTTTTTTTTAATGTCAGCTCTTTATGTTGTAATCATTGGATTTTCTGAGTCTGAAATGAAAATTAGTGCATTATCTAAAATGCAAACATTATGACATCATAAAACATAAAGCAAAATGTTTTAAATACAATGTAAATCAGGTTTCTCACCATCCTGCCTTTATTGTTTTCTGCATGTAGAGATGTTGTCTCTGATCCATCCTATTGTCTTTAAAGGTGTTTCATATATTTTGTCTCAGGTCTTCAGGTGGTGTTGAAGTCGATAATGAAAGCCATGGTGCCTCTGCTGCAGATCGGCTTGCTGCTCTTCTTCGCCATCCTCATGTTCGCCATCATCGGTCTGGACTTCTACATGGGCAGGTTCCATCTCACATGTTTCAGGATCGACACAAGTAAGAAACTCTGACATTTACCAGCTGTTTGTGTTTCCAGCACATGAGCTGTGTGTCCTAATGGTGTGTGAATGTGTGTATTTGTAGAAGAGCGGGCAGCAGATTACCCCTGTGGCCACGTGGCTCCGGCTCGGACCTGTGAAAACGGGACTATCTGCAGAGATTACTGGCTCGGACCTAATTTTGGGATTACCAATTTTGACAACATCCTTTTTGCTGTTCTCACCGTCTTTCAGTGCATCACCATGGAGGGATGGGTGGACATCCTGTACAATGTGAGTTTATGTACAAAAACACCATGTTGAACCAAAGTGAAGTGCTGATCAGTAGCAGGTGTTGAATGGGAGGTGTGCACATCTGGTCCTCTTCAGCTGTTTATCCTCAGCTGTCAGTAACAGTGTGTCTGCAGGATGTTTAGCTTTTTTGTTTAGCTTCATGGAAGAAGAACCTCAGCTTAGCCTGTTAGCTTTAGCGTTAGCCCCGATGCTATCACAATATATATGTATTAGCTCAGTGCTACACATTCTCCTCTCATCACTGAGGTCCTCCATCCACATGACAGAGAAGGGAACACAAAAATGACTCAGCCTGCAACTGAAAATATGGATGGAGGACCTCAGTTTAGCTTGTTTGTCGCGCTAGCGCCGAGCTAATACAAATAAGGCAATATAGCGTGAGGGCTAGCACAAAGGCTAACAGGCTAAGCTGAGGTTGTTCTTCCATGAAGCAGCTCTGTTGTCCTCCATCCATATTTTCAGTTCCAGGCTGAGTCATTTCTACCTTCTCCTCTCTGTCAACGCTCTCTGGTTTCATTTAAAAGAGTCGATCATCAGATATTGTCCAAGATTAACCTTCAGGGTGGATATAGCTCACTAGCAGCCTCGCACCGAGGACCTATCCACGTCATCATTTACCCAGAATGCTTTGTGTGTAAATAAAATGGCTCCATCCGTGTTAAAATATATTTAAAAAAATTTACAAAACTAAACAGCCTACAGTATTTTTACAGTCTTTATTTTACAGTTAAAATAAATGCTTATCAAATAAAGTCTAATGTTACAACTAATCATGGATCCCTTTAAGAAACACCCATTCAAGAAGACATACAAGACGAACATGGGGGAGCAGGTGAAACTGGTCATGCAGCAAACACATTTGCGCTACCTGGAAGCTGCAGGTACTGACTTTTCTACTCTTTGTTCGGGGAAGACAAGTCCATTACCATGGCAGAGTCACCGAGGTAGTTAAAAAAGCTTCCTTTGTGGCAGGGTGCCAGGGGTGGACGAGATTCTCTTTGAGATGCTGAAGGCTCTGGATATTGTTGGGCTGTCATGGTTGACACATCTCTTCAGCATCCCTTGGAGGACTGGGACAACTCCTGTGGAGTAGCAGACCGGTGTTCTAACTGATGAACAGTGGACCAGAACTTCACCTTTCTAGAGTTACTAATGGGGTCATGGAAGTTCTACTCTCCAGTCTSCATGCACTTTGGTGACCTGGAGAAGGCGTATGGCCATGTTCTAGTCGGGGAGAAGAAGGTATTTGGTTTGAGAACCTCTGGGTCTCATCTTGGCTTCATGTGGATGTTGCACTTGTTGGTGTTTTCAGGCCGTTACCTTCAGCACTGGAGTGGTTTTCAATCGAGTAATGAAGAGGCTGGCTTCAGACTGAGCTCTGAGGCCATGGTTTTTAACAGGAAAAGGGTGGAATGCCTCAGGCGGGGAAGTTTTATCTTGTTCCTGAGTGATGGTAGGATGAAGCAGAAGATGGATCTACAGATCTGGGTCTCATTCTCAGTAATGAGGATGTTGCTTCTGTCAGTCATGATCAAAAAAGAGCTGAATGTAAAGGCAAAGCTCTGGATTTACTGGTCTATGTTCCAACCCTCACCTGTGGTCATGAGGTGCGGGTCATGAAAGAACCAGATACTGAATCCAAGCTGTCGAAATTATTTTCCTTCAAAGGATGGCCGGGCTCAAGATTAAATATAGAACTTAGTCATCTGGGGGAGCTCAGAGTAGAGCCGCTGCTCCTCCACACCTAAAGGAGTCACTTGAGGTGGTTCACCCTTAAGTTTTAAGAAATTAAAAATTAGGTCATAACATGTATGTGTAATCTAAAATCATGTACGTTGATGAGTTTACTTGAGTTTATTATGGTGTTCTGAACCTGCAGCTCAGTGCAAAACTTAAAGTCTTCCTGCATTTCAACTTGTATAATAAAATGGCAGCACAGTGACTGAGTTGGTAGAGCTGATGCCTCTCAGCAAGAAGGTTGCTGGAGTGAATCCCGGGGACCTTTCTGGGTAGAGTTTGCATGTTTTCTCCATGCATGCGTGGGTTTATTCTGGGTACACCAGCTTCCTCCCACAGACCAAAAACATGACTGTTAGGTTAATTGGTGACTCTAAATTGTCCCTAGTGAGTGAGAGAGTGAATGGTTGTTTGTCTTGTGTGTCTCTGTGATGGATTGGAGATGTGTCCAGGGTGTACCCCACCAGTGACCCTGAAAGAAGCAAGTGGGTTAAGATGGATGGATAAATATTGTACAATGATTATGTTTTGTTTCTGAAAGCAGCCATGCTAATCATTACACTGTCAGGATTTCAGAGTTACTCTGATCTGGGTATTGGTGGTCTTTCAGTTCTGGTCAGGTTTAGGTTGCTAATCTGAGCTCCCTCCTGTGACACACCATGAACTCACCTGCAGACAGACTCAGATGTGCTGATCCATCTTTGGGGAGCTGAGTGTTTACAGTACATCTGACAGTGACAGTCTGGGACAGAGGAACAGGTTTAAAATGGGTCAGGCCCATCAGCTGGTCCAACACTCTGACAACGATCTAATATTACAGCTCAGACAGAAATAATTTGGACAGAAATATCCTCAGAATAAAAAAAGAACACTGCTCTTTATAGAACGTTTTCCTCTGTTCTGATCCTGGATGAAGTCTCTGGAGAGCCTCAAATCATTTAATGTTAAGAGAAACTGTGTGCGTGTTCTGTTCACAGTTTTGTAGGTGATTGTTGAGGTTTTAGACAGAGACGAGGATCATGGATATGAGGATGGTGAAGACCATCTGGAGTTACACTTTCTGTCAGCTCTGCTGCATTATTAATGAAAGCAAGGTATTTTATAGCTGAGCCTTCCACAGAAAGAGGAAGTTACAATGAAAGTGTTTCTGTGTGGGTGTGTCTCATGAACCATTGAACACATTTGAGTAAAGTTTGCAGAACGTTATCTTTAGATCTGCTGAAGCCTGGCATCAGCTCCTCCTGTCCCAGACAGAAAGGGCAGCTAAATAAAATGTATGAATAAGCAGGTGGATGATCCTCAACAACAGATTCACTTTTGGAGTCAATCCATTTCAAAATGACTACTGCAGCTCCAACTGAAATGGTCTAGTCAGCCAGTGTCTCTGAGTCTCATTGACACATACTGAGATCATGTGGTGGTAGCTGAGAGTCATCCACTGCTCATCATACGGTGTTGTTCATAATGGTATTTTCAAGGTTTGACCTAAATGATAACAGCTGGCGGTCAACACTTCTAGTGATTTTTAGACTTTACCACAGAACTACACAGAAATCTTAATTTTTTTTATAAAACTGGATCCATTTTTGTTGTCTCATTTTAGCTTTTTGATGCTGTTTTTGTAATTGTAGCTGTCAGCAATTTTTTTAGCCACATTTAGCCACTGTTTCATAGTGATGTTTTGATCCAATATCTATATTGGATATCAGTCTGATATCAAACAAATAACAAGTATCAGATTATATTGGCCTGCATCTAAAATCTCTGATACAAGCGGTCCATTCCAGAAGTCCACTCCAGGATTTCTATCCAGCAGCAGCTGGATCCAGAATAAATCATTWAAGTGATCTTAGAATTTTTTGGTCAACCATACAGAAATGACTGCAGCTATCAGCATGAAATCTGGCAGGTCTGTAGTTCAGTCCGACGTACACTGCACCAGCCAACGGTTTTACGATAGACCCCATATTTGAGGAGGGGGCTCCATCTAAAAAGGGGATGTCTGGACATACAAAAATGCTAATAATTCAAAAACTACATAGGAGCTTCAGATTTTTTTAAAGCTCTGATGAAGGGCTATTCATTGGGCCCACCAATGAGCACCCCCACCCCCTCAAATCCATTTTGAATTGTGGGACGTTAGTGTTTTGCGTATGTCCAAGGGTCATATGCTACTACTATGCTGTATCTAAAAGTATTGTTTGTTTTTATTGGATTATTTTAGGTAATTTTTCAGTGTCTTCTATTTTTTTTGTTTAATTTATTTAACTGACTTGAGCAAGACTTCTAACATTCCACACTACGAAATAAGTAATAAAATACATTGAATTCATTCTGATATTGTATCGTATCGGGTCAACATTGGTATCGGCCAATACTCAAGGCTGCAGTTTTGGTATTGTATCAGAAGAGAAAAAGCTGTGTTGGGACACCAGTACTGTTTTGCTAATTGTCATTTTAACCTACAGTTTTGCAAACTGTAGCTACTGTTTTGCTGGTTTGAGCATCTGCTCTGCTAGTTTTAACTTGACCAGTTCAATAATTTATTGTTTAGCAGATGTCAATCTTTCAGCACTCTCACCACATTTGTGCTAAAATATGTTATTTTCTCTTTATTATTATTCCATCATGCTGATCCTGTAGTCCTGGATACTTTGGTCCTRGAGCTGCCATTCATTCAGCAAATGATGACTATGCCTCATGGTGGTCTTATAACCTATGGTTACTACATTATTAAGCTTTTAATAGGCTTAAAACTGCCTTTGCATATAATGGTGATGGAAGCAACTTTATGTTCCAATTCTTCCCCCACTATATCAGGTATGCTTAGAAGTGCAGCAGAGTTTAATATAAATAAATAAATAATTAGATTTAAGTGGTTCAGTAGTTACATTATTGTGTATGTATAGTGATCATTTTAATTGTATGTACTGTATATTTGTTACTTGTAAAATTTTTGATTAATTATTTATTTTTATTTTTATTTTTATTTATTACATTTTATCTTTCTATATTTGATTATATATTTAATTATTTTGGTGTAAAAATACAGTTTTGTGAAAAACTTATTTTATTCTTTAATGTTTAACTTTTTAATTTGTTTTTAAATTTGTTTTTGAAAAGTATGTATTTGTACGATAGTTTTAACTTTATTTTTTATTGTTAAAATAATAATTAACATAATGTATTTGTTACAAAATTTTAGTTTTTTACAATATAATAGTCTTTATTGTCATTGCACA